ACACAATTCCAAAATTGTCTGTATATAAATTTTATGTTATGTAATATAATAAGGATAAGATACGTATAATTTATGTTAGTTTTTAGTTTTTTTTATGCCTATTTGTTCTATCTCAGTTTGTAAAATTTAATTATATTTATTATATGTCTATTACATTGATTATAAAATTTTTTTGGTTAGTTNNNAANNNTNNNATATCTTCACATAATATNNCGGNTTGTTTGACTTGGTNGAAAGGTTAAATATCTTCACATAATATCTCGGCTTGTTTGAAGTTAGTCCAGACTTAGTCCTAGTTACACAAGTGGTAGTCCTTTGTTACGACTTACGACTACATCGCATTAAACTAAACCAAGAATTACTCGAACCGGATTCGGTCCAGCTATTCAATGATATTGGGTTATCTGCTACAAATAGAAAAAAAAAACAATATGGGCTTGGGTCTAAGGCCTGGTTCGTAGATTTCATTATCTTCTCCGAAATTATCATCAACGCTAATAATTAATAATTATTAGGTACTTAGACTTCTAGCGTAGAACATGATACTATTATAATCTTCTTTGATAAATCTTATTGGATGAAATAATATTAGGTTGTGGTATTGAGTTGTTTGACATTTTGGATAATTCATTCCCTTATATTATATACTACCATCAACATATATATTGGTACTTAACATCCACCACATTTACATATTGGTAATTAAAATCCGCATGTATAGTATTAATTATTTAATCAAATTTTACCACATAAAGCAAAAAAAAACCCAATATGCCTGTACAAGAATAGTGTCAGAGATCTAGAAATATTAATTGATTTGGAATTTACAGTCTGAAATAGTTAGATCCGCAAGATACACCTCATGTTATCCCCAAATTAATTCTCTTAACACTATTAATCCAATATGATGAATCATCAGTAAGTTATGTTCTACTTGACTATTTTCTGCTACGGCCCTAGTATTTCTTTGGCACGATGGTATAGTCACGCGTGGAACCATATATCTGGCCGGGTTTGGGACTATAAACATTATGGACAAGAAGATACGTCATAAATAAAAGTTTATATTATAGCCAAACTAACATAAACATTTGTGGAACATGTCATAAGGGCCACTCATATATGGAGTAACACAAACTTATTTTATGAAAATACACACTATATATTAATCACCAAAGATTTTTGGTAGATTAGCATGGGAAGTAACCGACACATTTGTGATATGGGAAGATATAGTTGCAAGATCCATGACGTGCTCCCTCAAGGTTAATGCACTGATTCTTGCATGCATTGTTTTTTCCACAAACTCCTGACATAATGTCGAATCTAAGATCAAAGGGAACAATTAAACTTAGTTAATTAATCTCTACAAATAAAAAACATGGTGGCTTTAATCAACTAGATGACACTCTTACTGCGGAAGCTCAATATTTTCTGATCAATACCATATTATTCAAGCCGATTGTTCTTACGGTAAACACTGAAGTTTATAAAATAAGATACTTATACAAATGACAAATATACGCATATTCTAAAAAACTCAATCTCAAACGTTCTAAAATGATCTAGACTATTGTCCATGTGATTCGCAAATCTTAGTTGAAACAAAAATGGGACAGTGATATCACGACAAAAACTATCAATTGTATGATTTTTGTTGGA